TGCTCAGGTTCAACTTCTCACACCTTGTTCGATTGTTGGCTTAATTTCAATAATTTGTTCAATAAGCAATTTCTCTCATTTCTTGTTTGCCTTAATTTCCTTAATGTTCCTAATTTTGTTTTTGTCCTAATTTTCTTAATTTCCCTAATTATGGTTTTGCCCTAATTTTGTTTGTTGCCGGTTTAATTTATGTAATTATGTGATGCTGTTGATGCCGCGATGGACTGATCACTATGGGTGATGTACTGGTTTAATTTATGCTTATTTAGAAATTGAAATAATTAGTTATTTGTTTGCTCCTTAATATTAGTTATGTTAATTGCTTATATTATTTGTTTGCTGGAAATGTTAGTTTCTAAATTCTAATTTGAGTGATACAGCGCTCAGAAAATTGCAAAATAAAATACCATTTAGTATTATAGTTAGAAACTGAATAATACTTAGAATCACATGAATTATATGTTGACCAAGTTTTCTTTAGTAAGTTAAAATATCACTTGTTATTTGTCATGAGTTTTCAACTGAGGATGAAGTACTGTTTAGTTGCTTATGTTATCTATTTGCAAAATTTAATTTATCATAAATCGTGTATTTTATATTTTAACAATTTTATAATATTTTATATTTGAATATTTTTTAATTTATTTTACTTTTACTTTTTCGTCCCTACTCAAGGTAAATCCTGGTTCCTCCCTTGCCAACCGTCCTTATCAATGTTCTAAATATAAATACTTTATAATCCTTATTACATAAAGGGGGCGTTTGGTTCACGGAATCTTAGATTACCCCAGGTAATAGGATTACCTCCACGAAGGTAATGTGAGATGTTGGGAATGTAAGATTACCTAGTGTGTTTGGTTTGGATAGTGTAATATAATATTACCTTGTTTGGTTCAAGGTTATATTTTAGGTTATATGGATCAATTTACAATAATGTCCTCAATAATATATATATATATATATATATATATATATATATATATATATATATATATATATATATATATATATATATATATGTATAATGTGTGTATTTATTTATATGTATGAATGTAATCGATGCTTAAATATTAAAAAAATTAAATATATAAATATACACATATATATTTGATTATATAAACGTATATTAATTTTATTATTATTATTATTATTATTATATAAGGATTAGTTAACAAGGGCAAAGTTGGAATAATGCAAGGTAATCTAAGATTACCTAAAAAATTGGAGGTAATCACATTACCTTGAAATATTACCGCCACATCAGCTTTCAGGTAATATAACATTACCAGGTAATCTTATAACTTGAACCAAACAAGGTAATATAACATTACCAGACTCAGATTACCTAGGTAATCTAAGATGACATGAACCAAACGCCCCCAAAAGGTAATATATATATCTGGAAATGTAAGTGGTTTATGGGTGTGCACATGCAATCACGTACCATCGCAAGACTGATCTCACGCGACCACAGCCCACAGCAACGCTATCGTCACGAGCAAGAAACGTGACAGGCAACCACCTAATTAAGGCGCCTTTTTTATAAAACCATTTTCCCCTCTTTAAAATTGTTCATAAAGCTCTAACACCTCGTACGCTTCCTATTTTTGTCTTCCATACTCTTATATTATAGTCACTCCTATCCTCCCTAAATTTATCCAAAAACCACAGGTTTTTACATGAAGCAGAGGGTTTCACTTTACTATGATTTTTGGGTTTCCCTTACATTAACGCACTGAAACAGCATCATGGGTTGTACTGCCTCCTCACCAGCCACGGCAGACGGTGAGCCCCTCTGCTCTGCTCTTTCCGGATTAGATAATGTTGTCAACTGCAAACCATGTTTTTTGGGTCCATTTTTATAGTGTTTTCAAGAATTAAAAAAAAATGCTATTGAAAAAAATGGTTATATTTCTGGTAGATTGGAAGTGTGTGATTGTGTGATATTGAATCTTGTGTGATCATAGGAACTGTTAAAAAGATAAGAAAGCCAAAGCCATGGAAGCATCCACAGCCAATAACCAAGAGTCAGCTGATGCAGTTGAGAGAAGAGTTTTGGGACACTGCCCCTCACTATGGTGGCAGGAAAGGTAGTTTTCAGCATATTATTTAATTTAAACAACCCCAACCAAGTTGGTCAGATTGACTTGGTAACCATAAGGTTACAAGTCCAACTCCCACTGTGGAGCGACTTATTGCCATTCTTAGTTTGAGCCGATCAGTTATGGGCAACCTAAGCTAGTGTATCTCCTTATGGCTAGGATGACAATACAGGATTTACCCAGTACACACCCTTGGATAGTGTCTGCCGGTTTTTCTCGTCCCCAAAAAAAATCAACTTGTCAACTGGGAAAACTGTTTAGAGTAAAATTCATGCTGAAATTGTTTCTTGAGAAGTAGTGATGCTCAATAATTGGGGGCAGGATTCAACTATTGTAGTCCAGAACTGCATTACATACCTGTTTTAGGACATAGGATTCTGGCTAACATCTCACTTGTATTAGAAATCTGGGATGCCCTTCGCGCTGCTGCAGAAGCAGATCTAAGCCTAGCTCAAGCAGTTGTGGACAGTGCTGGGGTGATTATCCAGAATGCAGATTTGACTGTATGCTATGATGAAAGAGGTACTTGAATAAAAAGACATTGATTTGATCCTTCTAAGACCCAAATCTATCTAGAATGTGCAAGATGAAGAGACCCTTTTTTTAGCAATATGCCTTATGAGGATCATTGTTGCAGGTGCAAAATATGAACTACCCAAGTATGTTTTGAGCGAGCCAACAAACTTGATTCGAGACAGTTGAAATTTTACTTGCAACAGTTGTTTAAATGGGTTAGAAGCTCGTGTAAATCATCACATTTTCAGATGCCAAAAGCACAATAATACAAGAAACTGAAATTTTGTTTTTGTAAGCGGTGAATAATAGGCTTTTTTTTCTCTATTGTCTGCATCTTTGGCATCTTTTCATGTTGTTAACACCATATTCATAATGGGAATTTCAAAGTTCATGTGATTGGTGAAGTTCTAGCTAACATTGTATTTTTGTTGATCACTAATTCATGTGTTTTGGAACATATGATTGAGGATGCAGAAATAAGACTCAAATCTAAACTTACTGTCTTAATGATATATCATTGTGGATAAGGCTCAATTGAACCATTTTCAATTCAAAGAAAGCCTTGCAAATATAAAAACAAGCAAAAACAAAACGAAATAAACAGAAAAGCAAAATTTCCAGCAATTCAGGTAAATTGAAATGGTAATTATGATAATCAAGAGAAGCCAAAGGCGAATTTTATAGTCCGTGTGATATATAAGTTGCGTATGTAATCGAGGAAAGAATATTACCACTTGAAGTTTGTCGGAAACAATTGCTTGAATCTCGTCGAGAATGCCGAATGTGTGAGTTGCAGCCATTTTCAGGCTTGACGGTTGCCGGAAAATGACTTGGATCTAATGAAAAGGGAGTAGCGGAAGGTTTTCAATTTCCCTCCGTCGATGGCGGTTCATTTTCCCGCCAGAATGATGTATATCCAACGGGCAAATCCCAATTCAATTTCCATTTTCCAAAACCCCCGTTTTCCCCTTTCGGAGCAGTAATCTTCATTCTTCAGATCTACTCCAACTCCAAGTCTAGAGAGGGAGTGAATCCTTAGTTGAGATGGATGAGTGGTTAAATCGGTTTGAGCCGGCGGTAGTTCGACTGGAGACGCTGTCCGCCGGCGGATTTGGCCATGGAACTTCGCGTGAGGTTGACGCTAGTGCGGCGGCGGCGTCGGATCCATCGATCGTTGCATTCGAAGATCTGATTTCGGTGAGCGTCGGGAGGCTGTTGAGTGCTGCTGAGAAGATTGGAGGACAAGTTTTGGATGCTACCATGATTGTAAAGGATGCATTCTCTGCTCAGATGGAGCTTCTAATCAAAACCAAGCAAACTCAGGTTTCGATTTCTTCTGAACTTAAATAACAGAGCAATTAATATGTTATAGTTGTGAATTTTCACGTAATTTTGATAATGATCACTTCACTCATCGAGACTGAATCTCCTAAGTCTTCATCGTCACGTCTGAATCAAGGAATGGGTACTGTTTTCACTCATCGAGACTGAATCTCCTAAGTCTTCATCGTCACGTCTGAATCAAGGAATGGGTACTGTTTTTGAAGAAATAAGTTCTGGGAAGTCAGTAGCTTCTGGTAATTTATGCCCTCCTCATTTGTATTTGAATGCATTTTATTTGAATATATACTATTATCTAAAAACATAATAAGTCTCGATCAAAGTTATATTTCTCATTTATATTCATATTTTTTATGCTAATCATTTTGTACATTATGCTTTTAGAGTTGTACTATATAATTTTTTTGACAAAAATACTCCTATCGTTATAACTTCCGTTATCTTTTCCATTATTATTACCATGCATATGCATCCATCATATATTTTTTTATATTCTTTAATAATAATAATATTTGTAGATATTATATATTTGATTATTATAATAAATAAATTTGATTTCATATAGATTTTAATTAGTAGAGATTTATTAATTATTTAAAAATATATATAAATATTGGGCATATATTTTTGCGCATCGCGCATAGAAAAGACTAGTATTTAAATATATAATAATAGAATAATACCTAATATAACTTTAATAAAATTTACAGTGTTAATCAACATCAGTATTTGTTGAAGCTCTATTGGAGCATTACTAAAAAAATAACAAATAACAAAAAAATACATTGCATGCATAGCTGCATTGGATCACTATTCAAAAAATATAATAAATGACAAGTTATCCAAATGTCAAGGGTCATATGTTTGCCAATATAATAACTATATGATTAGTACTCTTGTTCTTGCTGGAAGAACTGAAGCTTTCAAGAGGGGAGGAAATTCTTCGTTTGTAGTGAGAATGTTCTTTTCCTGGTATGTTGAATGTGCATGAGAAGAATAATGGAGTTTAACATGTTTGACCTTTTCATTTTGTCTAACTCTTTATGGAGTTGATGGTTCTTTAAATTGAGGGGGATTAAAAACCATAGGTTGAATTTTCATAAGCTCTGGGTCAGGTTTGTAGTTGTAAGGCAATTTGCTTTCATCCATCCTTCTAAAAGTAATGGAGATTCTGCAATGAGAGAAGTAAGAAGAAAGATTAGTACCTCATAGGCAAAAAAATATAAGAAGATCGAATAATGAAGTGATGATCTTTATTAATGGCACTCAATGATTTACCTTTTAGATGGAACACGAGGTACGCAATGCTTTGCAACATCAGCTCCATTACCTTGTAAAACAAGCACCGATCTGCATTATAATAATTCAAAGTTAAGAGACTTCTATTTTCATGATTTTCACATTTTCGATCTCATTATATATGATTAGATAGAAAAAATATTGAATAACATACCCGACTGGTAGAGGTACTGAGACTGGACCGAAAAATTCTCCAATGCCATGATTAAGAATCTTCAAACTCGATCCAAAAACAATGTTGCATTCCGACAAAAACGACACGGAGCAAAACGGTCGAATAAAATCGTGATGGTCGATATGAGGAGGAATGCAGTCACCCTCATCGTAAATGTTCACAATGCAGCTATTAGGGATACATGTTGGTGGCAAAACATGCCACCTCACCATCCGCTTAATCATTTGCTTGAATAAAACAGGCAATGGATCCACTTCTTCATCTCTTATTATACCAGGAGGATTGCCATTTTTATCCTATCACAAAACCATAATAATATAGAGTATACGATAAGCTACTAAAAAAAGAAAAGGTAATAAGGAATATGAATATAATATCAAGTATTTTTACCACTGCATAATTGTAACAGCCACCAAATTGAATAATTGTACGCCCTTTGCGCCCCATCCATTTCTTTGGTTCATAATATGTTCTTGCAGCAAATTAAAGAGTTAAACACACTAAGTAAGATATAATCATTAATACCCATTTTCATAATATATCTAATTAACTATTAACATTGCTTATATATATACCTTTAAGCTGCCGTTTCCGACCCAATTGTTGATACTTGTACACACATTCAACAATCTTCATTTGCTCTTTTGCATCGAAAATTCCAGTATGTAATTCAACACCTTCAACCACGTTTATCTCTTTCCCATCCACTCTCTCGTAGTGAACAAAATCCTTCTTACTCTTCACTTGCGTGAATCTCATATGTTCTATCTTCTCCTCATCCGAGAACGTCGGGGCCTGTTTGCGACTTACTGGTGCCGGCGACGACACATCGGAAACCAACTTTTTCAACGGATTCCGGTAAGTAGGTGCAACTATGGGTGCATGCAACACACTAGCTTTCTCATAGGGGCAAGAAAACGATATCTCACCGAATTGAACTACAAAAATTAAAAAAAAAAAAAAATGTTAACACACACTCGAAAGGAAAAATAGCCATGAAACTAAAGCAACTATGAATCTGAATAAGGATATTAAATTTTAAATAGGGTCAGAGAGTGGCTAATGCTACCCTTGAAATGCAGAAACAGAACAATAAAATAGGAAGAAATTTATTAATATATAAAACTTGGAAATTTTATTAACATAAAAATATGTATTTATATGCTTATTGCATGATCATTATAATTCATATATTTCTGGTGTGTGCGGTTTATGTGATATAAAAGATCCAAGCTCTATTGAAAAATCTGGTGGTGATTATATTAAGACAAATTAGGTCATGTTCCTTAAAATTTAAATAGTTAGGGTCCGACAGATGGCTAATGATACCAATCTCAAAAGACAAAGAAAAGAATAATAAAATAAATTAATATAAAATTAAGAAAATTTATATGACTAATTTGATCATAATGTATAATGAAAAGCCTATATTTATAGACTTATTATGATAAAAACTCAATTTAAGAATATAGGAAAAATTCAACAAACTAAATGAAATAGAGCATATATATAGATGCGAAAAGCAGATTAACATAAAATATGCATAACTATGAATCTAAATAAGGATATTAAAATTTAAATATGGAAATGGTGGCTAATGCTACCACTTGAAAGGCAAAAATAGAATAATAAAATAGGAAAAAAAATAATATAAAACTTGAAAATTTTATTAATATAAAAATCTGTATTTATAGGCTTATTATGATATTCAAATCATAAAAATCATTTGTAAGAAAGGAAACTAAAATATTTTTACTTACTATTTAGTTTCTCCATGGGAACTCTGATAGGAAACCTAACGGATCGGAGTGAATACCAAGTTGGAAAGTAGTGTGTGAAGAAGCAATAATCTTAGTTGGACGGGAATTTATATATAAAGAGAAATTGATATTAACTTAAACCTGTTGGGAATAGAATTATTGAATTAGGAAAAAGCTGGACACAATCCTTATATGAATAGGAAAAAGTGATAGTTGGCGCCAAATTTAGGAAATATAGCCGTCATGAGTAAAAGCTAACACGACAGTAGGGCAATCTAGTGAGGTATGTATACATCAGCTTAAATATTTTTATTATCTACATCTATCTATCTATCTATCTATCTATATAATAATAATAATAATAATAATAATAATAATAATAATAATAATAATAATAATAATAATAATAATAATAATAATAATATATCTACAAATCTAATAAGAGCCAATAATGTTAGGCCCTTAACTGAACAGATAGTAGTTGTTTTTTAAAATGAATGGTTCATATTATTTTGATTTTAGTTTTTTTTTTAATGATTTTTCTTATTTACCCTCTATTATATTATTTTATTTCTTTAAATAACCCTAAATTCTGTTAATATAAACTTTAATAACGGAATATTTCATTAACTATTTATTATTCTTAACATACTCATTAATTTATATAAAATAGGTCTTAGGTTCGAACCTCATTCCAATTAGAGTTGTCATAATTGTTAAACATATTTAAAAATATATAGTCAAAATTGTAGGAATTAGCATATTCATGTGATAGGATAGGAAGTTAGTCCACGCCCCAAAAAGGAATATGAATCCAACAAACGGCCCAATATGATAGATATATTTTGGGGAAAGTAGCGGGGCCCAATTTGAAAACTATGTTTTTATCTTCACAAACCACGACGGGATCCGGATGGATATGAATAGAAAACGTGGCGTCAACAACACAGTGTGCGCACTACGCACCCTGCGCATTTTAGCCACTACCAGTACCTTCGTCTTCATCCTCACACAGAAAAAAAAAAATCAATTTCGCTCTCGCCCGACGAGGAAACCTCTCCCGTTCTTATCTTCATATCTACGCCACGCATTTCAAACCCCTCTATACTCTCTCTATCGGAAACTCTACATCTCCTTCTTCTCTGGAAGCTTCTAGTTAAAATCTGTAATTTTCGACATTCATACGATAGTTGAATCGGCAAAGTTCACGGGTTTGCGGCACCCGGACGGGATATCCGTTGATTCATCAGGTGCAGAGCTCGAATTTTGACCTGATTTCGTTACCACCACGCGGATTTTAGTATTTTACCGGTTTGGTTGGTAAGTTTGTGGAATTTGAAATGCTGATTTGGGTTGTTTGGAATCAGGTCGCTTTGGTAGTCTTGTAGTGAAAAGTAGAAATTATTAGCCTTTAGAAGTTTTAGGTTTTGAAGATTTAAGCAGTGGAAATGATGTCTGTGGAGAGATCGTTTGAAGCATGGGAAGAGGTGCAAAGGCAAGGCCAAGATTTTGCTGATAAACTGGCACAGGGATTTACAGGATTGATTCAGTCGCATATTCCCCCTCCCTCGTTTTCATGGCCAAACCCGCAGACGCCCAAGCTATTTGATGTGGAATTTCCAGCTCAAAATTTTGTTCCCAAGGACTTTGGGCTTGCGGTAGATAAAGCAGGCAGTCATGGGGTTTCTGCAATTTTTGATATAGGGAACAGGATAGGGCAGGCTGGAGCAGACTTTGGGGGTTGTTTGGATGGTATGGTTCAGCAGTTTATCAGATGGTTTCCAGCGCCATTTAAGCATGAAGAGATTGCTGGGGTGTCTCTCCAGGCGGAGGCAAATATTCCAAGAACTGATTTGGTTATTACTAGGCAGGAGGATTTGGGGTCACTGGCAGAACGGTTTAGAGATTTTGGGTATGTGGAAAATGCTTCAGCTCAAGATGGCTCCACTGAAGAAGAAAGTTTTGGTGCTAATCTGAAGAAATTGAAACATTTTGGTAGATCACAGGTATTCAAGTGCCATATCACATATGCCCATATGCACAATGTCTTTGTAGTTTGTAGTGATCCTCAGGGAACAAAGAGTTTGGAAGTCATATATACATGTTACTTTAAATGCCTTAACAACTTAAAGTGTATGCTGAACTGGCATAACTGATTTCTACTTTTTGAACCAACAATTTTTAGGAAAATAACTACACTCTGATGGGATTCTAATGCATAGGTATAGGAATGAAGGCTTTTTAGTTTTGCTTTCGGATTGTTAATATTGAATTCTTTTTAATATGGAAGATGCGTATTTGTCATTTCCTTGTATGGAGTTGATGTTATTGGCTCTAATAGTCTAATCTCTAAGATCGTAAGATATCCATCACTGAAATGTCTATACTGTTAATATAGGATTAAATTCATTTGTATAGGGTTGGACAGTTGGTATGCTTGGCATTTGGTGTTAAACCATAGACATTAGTGAGTATGATCTTTGTTGACTTTGTTAAATGCACCTCTCATCCCAAGTAAATATCTCATACACTTGTTTATATAGCCATGAGTTCAAATTTTATTGTGATATTTGTTGCAGGTAGGTCCTTTTGCTTTTATGTATGCATGCTTTCAACATTTACCCATCTTATATTTGTAATGGATCTTTTGAATTTTCTTCTATGGTTATTACTTATCCAAAAAAAAAAAAAAAATCTCCATTCATGGAATCATGGCTATGCCCTTGCCTTGTTTGTTTGGAATTAACTTTATTATTTAAAATATCAGTTACAGGTTTTCTTTAAAAGAGGGAAAAATATACTATTTCACTAGTTTGGGATGTATTCTGAATTGATGAAGTGTATCAGTATAATTTATGTAAAACTGGATGCCGTAAGTATTTTATGAAAGGAAAGGAAAGAGGCTTATGAAAATGGAGAAGGATAGGAAGAAGAAAGCTTATTTCATATTTTTCACTTATGGAGATACATAGATATTTATACAAATAGGACTAATTACTGTGCTTACCCAACAACACTATGTATCTCTACGACTCTACCCCTTTCACATTCCTAACTGATGCTTTTACAAAGTTGAGTTCTTATTTCTCCCCCATCTGGTCTTCTCCTTCCTGAATGCAGGGTACCTTTAATTTTACATCAACTTACAACAGCAGGACACGGAATATTGAGAGCTCTCTTGTTGCAAGGGGAGATTTATGGAGAGTTGAAGCATCACAAGGCCGTTCGACATCTGGAAATGAGAACTCTTCTTTATTCTTACTTCAGCTTGGACCAGTTCTATTTGTTCGTGATTCAACACTCCTTTTGCCTGTTCACTTGTCAAAACAACATTTGCTTTGGTATGGCTATGACAGAAAGGTATGATCATGTTGATATTTAGCAATCTACATGTTACTTCCACAGATCACAGTAGACAGTATGATTACACTTTTGTCGTCTTTATCAGGAATTTAGGGAATGTTCTCCAATAGTAATTGTATTTTAAGTTTCCCCAACGTAAATTATATACTTCTTTTTACCTCTACTTTATCATGGTATTCTTTTCTTCTTCTTCTTCTTCTTCTTCTTCTTTTTTTTTTTTTTTTGGAAACATTATCACGGTATTCTTATTTCTTCACTTTTCCAACTTAAAAATAACAGCATGGAATGCATTCTCTTTGTCCGGCTGTGTGGTCAAAACAGCGAAAGTGGCTGTGTATGTCAATGATCTGTCTCAGTCCTTTGTCTTGTGTAAGTGGGCTTAAGATTTTGTCTGTTATTTTCTTTTTATTTGAAGGAAAAGCACTAAATCTGTGTTGGTGGTGTTTCGTATTCTGTGTAAACTAACATATCTGTGCCTCTTTTACAGTCATTTATGGACTTGCAGTTTCCAAATGGTCAAATAACCTATATATCTGGAGAGGGCCTATCCACCAGTGCTTTTGTACCTCTGTGTGGAGGTTTACTTCAAGCCCAGGGCCAATATCCAGGAGACATCAAGCTCAGTTTCTCTTGCAAGGTAAGTTTCTGAAATTTGAAGGTGTGAGTCCATGTAGACTCCTTTTATCCAAATCCTCCAATCATAAATTAAGCATCATGCTGATGAAGCTAAAAGCTGTGTTTTGTTCTTTTTACAGACTAACTGGGGGACAAGCATCACACCCACACTACAGTGGCCTGACAAGTCATTTACCCTGGGCCTTGCACAGCCATTGGCGTGGAAGAGATCTGGTCTCATGTATAGACCTACTGTTCAGTTGAGGTTGGTTGATTTTCTCGATGACATATATATTACCCTATTTATTTTGTGATTTCTTTCACGGTATTGGGGGTTAGACAGTTCTGGATCGAGAATTTACATTCACCAGCAGAGTTGTTTCTTAAAAATGTGGGAGCTTTTTTGTGTTCTTTCTCTTACACATGTAGCAAGTATACTATCTGTCATATACATGGCAAAGAAGAAAAATGAAGTATACTCTGTTTTTTACTTAACCCTTTTTTCCAATCTTATCAGTTTATATCCCACATATGGCGGAAGTAACCCCGGGGTGCAGGCTGAAATTACACATTCTCTTAAGAAAGAGCTAAATCTCATCTGCGGATGTGCGCTTGCAAGGCATTCTTCTGCATTTGCATCATTATCTGTAAGTTGGTTTAGATACTGTGGCAATCTTAAATTTGATACGTTACTTGCAACAATATCAGCTTTCTCTATGTTTTTGCTCCTAATTGGTAATGAACTACTCCGTATGAGTGCAAAATAATGAAAAGTGTGTTCTGGGTGTTTTTAGTCTCAGTTTGATATGCAGGACATTTGCTAAATTGTTGGCTAGAACTTGCTATTGATTATCTCGCCTGCTTTTACTTTTAACAAATACAACATCCAAGTATAATAGTCCTTTCCCTGAACATGGACGTAACAGCAGCTTTGTGTTAATGCTGACAGTTGAACTTTGTAAATTCATTTCTTGTATGGGTTGAAGTTGCGTATCGTCATTCTTGACATGTGTTTTGCGTTGTTGTTGCAGCTTGGGA